CCAAATCTTTACGTCGTCAGCGTAAAGAAGCGCAGAGCAGTTTAGTTGGGGGGGCAGGTCATTGATAAAAATCAAAAACATCAACGGCCCTAGGATAGAACCCTGAGGAACCCCTGATGCCGAGGTGTGCCAAGATGATCGGATGCGGTTGACTTTGGTGCAGAATTCTCTCTCGCCTAAGTAATCTGTCAGCCATGCGAGAAGTGCTCCAGAAACTCCCGCCTTGCCTATTTTGTGAAGGAGCAGACCATGGTGAACTGTGTCGAATGCTTTCGCAAAGTCGAGAAAGATCACGTGGGCTGGTACCTTTTTGTCCCAGGATAGTGTCCAATCGTTCCAGGCTAGTAGAAGATTCGTCACGCAGGATCTTCCCCTCCTGAAACCGTGCTGTGCTTCGTGAAGAAGGTTAGTCCCATCGAAGTATTTTCTCATGTGGTCGTCAATGAGACTTTCCAATATCTTCGATACCACTGGAAGTAGAGCAACTGGTCTGTAACTGGTCACATTCTGCCGGTCACCACCCTTGAAGATAGGGGATAGGATTGCACGTTTCCATTCACATGGAAGTTTCCCTACATCAAGGGAGTGTTGGAACAGATCACTTAGGGGTTGACAGAGACTTTCTGAACACTGCTTCAGGACAGATGGTCTGATGCCATCACAACCTGGAGACTTTCCCGAAGCCAACCTTCCCAATTTTGCAAGTACCATAGCCGGGGTAATTTGAAATGTCCCCAGCAGGTTTTCGTGTGTTGGTTCTGCGATGTAATCTGGATGTTCTGTAGGGGTAATATCCTCGTTACTATTTAGTTGCCTGTGAAAGGCTAGGCTGAATGTCTCTGCCATTTCAAGACTAGTAAGAGATTTCCCATCAGAACCCACTAGATTGCATGCTCCCTGGTTGGTCGGTTTTCTTTCGGCCATAAACCTGTATAGGCTTTTGGGGTTCACGAGAAGCTTATTGGCGAGGTCTCCCTGAAATGTCCTTCTATCGCTCCGGACTCGTATGTTACATCGATTCCTGAGTTCAAGGTACACTTCATATTCGGGTTGACTCTTCGATCGTCGCCACGCGAACCAGGCTTTTCGCTTTGCCTGCAGAAGGCGTTGTGTCCCTCTTTTCAGCCATGATCGTTGCTTCCTAGCTTTTGGTGAGACTAAAGGAACAGTGTCTGAGACCGCCTGGTGAATGATCTCCTTTACCACTCTCCAGTGTTCTTCTACTGTTAGCTCTGTCCATTTTTTAGGCCAGTTTGCTTCAGACAGAAGTCTTCGCATTTTGGTAAAGTTGGCTTTGTTATAACACAGATAGGGCTGTGTATTGTCCCACTGTAAGCGCTCGCGGAGGACTATGTCGAATACTATGACCGCGTGGTCACTACTACCTATGGGAGTCGTGATCTGAACGTTTTCCACTAGTAGCTGGTCACTAGTGAGCACGTAATCCAGTCTAGAAGACTTCCCATCAGGGCCCCATCTAGTATCCATCTTGACATTTTCAGTGAATCCAGCCTTCCTGATGGTATGCAGCAGATTTCGATCAAATCTATCATGGGCTTTTCCCGACACCAAGTTAAGAGATGGGGCATTGAAGTCACCAGCTATGACAATTTGATCATAACCCATGTCTTGAGTCGCTGAAATTGTATTTAGCAGTACCTGGTTATGGTCTGCTCCACATGAAGGTGATCGATAAATGCTGCCCACTAGATATTTGCAGTACCCAACGGTGAAGTGGCACCATATGGAGTCAGGGAGCTCTGTGAGGGGAGGGTCCGTCGCGTGAACACATCTGAGCTGTTTGTCGACGTATATGGCGACTCCACCTCCTTCTTTCAGGTCCCTATCTCGCCTGACTAGGACCATATCATTTATACTGACTTCGCTGTCTGCCACCGTAGGGGTTAGCCAGGTTTCCGTCAGTATTATGATTTTGGAGTTTAGTTGTGATTGTAGGTGTCTAAGTTCAGCTATTTTGCCTCTTAGCCCTCTCACATTACTATACAGGCAACTGGTAGTCAGTCTCACCACTTCCCCGTATTGGGGGGTAGTTGACTTGATATTGGCTATCGGTTGAGGAGTTATCCTACGAACTAGTTGGCCGATTCCCCAGGAACCGGCCTGTTGGCGTTTTTTTCTTCTAGTTCAGTTGGAGCACTCGGATGACACTGGCTATCATCGTCCGTGCTGCACCGCTGTAGTGTGACTAGGGGTTGAGGATTTTCTTTTACTACGCTTTGTTCTCTCCTTTGAGTGCGAGGCCGGCTCTCGCAGCAGCGAATGTGTTTGCTGACCTTGTCCTTGGTCTCGTACCATCTATGGAGAGCGGTAGTCAACTGGTCTTGGGAGCTGAACTTGACAGCTAACAGACGTGGCGAGTTAATTGACATAAGATGAGTGGGTCGAGGCAGTCTATAAATAGAGACAGCCCCTGAACTTCCCAGGGCCATCTGGGATGCTAACCATCTCCATTGTTGTACATCATGACAATGCTTTTCGCAGGCGTTCCCAGTTACCAGTTCGGGAATGCCATGCACAACCATGGAGGCAGAAGGAATGAGCTCTGGCGACTCCCTCGCCATTTGTCTTTCCTTCCACGGCCTGTCTGGCTTAACACGTATGTTACAGGCCCTCCCTATAGAAAGGACTTGAGAAGCCAGTAACACTTTTTCAACATCCTCGGTAGAGCTCAATGTTACCCTCAGTGGGGATGGTTTGCCTTCAGGTGCAGCAGTGCCCCTATACAATCTGCATAGATTTACTGGTTGGATGTCCAAACCCAGTGTGCTACTTAAGATGGACCACTGTTCCTGATCAAATAGGGCCCTATCTTTCAGCAGACTACTGCTACAGTCTGGTACATTAAAGAGGATTACACAATTTGATCTGCTAACCGTGGGCTTGGGCTCGGTCCTCGCACGTTTGTGATCACCTTTAAGACCGTTTTGGTTTGACTGGTGCGACTGGGTATTTTTATGTGTCTCAGTGCTATAGCCAGCATTACTGGTAGACGGTTGGGGTCTTTTTCCAACGACGGAAACCCGTGGTTCTCCAGCCTCTGTGTCTGGAGCGGTTATGGCAAGAGTTACAAGTTTAACCGGTGAGGATTTTGGTATCCCCGGTTTACGCGCGTTTGTACTAACTTCCGGATTGGTGGGGGTCGAGCTTTTCACCTTTTTCCCCGCTACTTCTGTGCCATCTTTAGTTTTCAAAGGACTACGCGAGGCTACATCAGGACGGCAACTCGGGCATATGTACCAGAACCATTGGCATGGGTTTTTACGCATAAAGTCATAATATGCTTTTGGTACCCCACTGTCGCATCTGCAATGCACCCATCGGTTGCAAAAGTTACATTCGAAGGCAGAGTCTGCTTGTTCGACAACAGAAGCACAGACCTTGCAGTCGTCTGTCTTCTTGGGGAGCGTTCTTGTCGTCTTGCGACGTCGTGAACGTTTCTTTTTGGCCTTCCTATTTGTTTCATGGTCTACCATGGGGATGGGTGTTATGAAGTTCTCACTTAGTGCAATTTTCCCACTCGGATCTGTTAACCTAGTCGTGTTAACAGGGGTGGAGCCACATCCACTTGGCTGACTTTGCACAGCTTCACTGTAGGACTGTGGCGACATGGGTAATCTGTACGAGCTGGGAATATTAGCCCTGGTCTTCAGGACCGGTATGCGTGAGTCCATCACCTTCTCCTGTTTGCCTAGTTTGGCTGAAGCCCTGGTAACTACAGAGTATGATGTCCCATTACTTATTTTAGGTTGAGAATCTATTGTCATTTTACTCCTAAATTAATACTGGTGATTAAATAATAAGAGACTGTTATTTTGTCCAATAGACTTACAGCAAAAGACAATAGAGAGCGCAGAAAAGAAGGATAAAGTATGTAAGTAAAAGCTTTAGACTTTACCTGTAACTTTCGGGTTATTCGGTTTCACAGCAATCACGTAACAGACCCACAAGTCCTGTATATTTGAAAGAGTGAGGAGGGTGTTGCTACAGAAGTAGCACCTGAAGCTTTGGCAGTAGTTCGAGACAGCGGGAAGTACCACACACAGGCTCGGTGAGGAAGAAATGGTTGAATAAAAATTCGCCGGATAGGAAGATCAGGTTTCCCAAACGAATAATTCACAAAATTGGATATTTCCGGTTAGGGAGGAAAAGCACGTCTTATTCAAGGAGCGCGCTAAAATGCATGCGCATGGCAATAAAAAACGTGGAAGGCTTTACAGGAAGAGGGAAGAAAATGCTGCCGAATATCAGGAGTATATTACAGCCTACCGACAGAAAAATTTCATCAATACAGAATCTTCGCTACACGTAGACTCTAAGGGACTTCATAAAAGCTTGTAAAATAGTGAACTATGCAAGCTACCTGAGGGGTGCTAAGAATCCAGGAGAGTAGTGTAGAGATCGGTTAGGAAAGCGAAGAAGATATACATCTCAGAGAGCAGTTACTTAGGTGCGGTCCGGTTTCTTCGGTCTTAGAGTCCACTCTCTGTGAAATCCACAGTCGTCATTTGTAGCCACTGTTAGGGTGGGCAATGAATTCGCAGCAGGGAGAGCTACCACCGAAATCAGAATTGTTTGCTACCTCAATCACTACGACCGTCATGTTTTTCGTCCTATTAAAATCCAATGTCTCACATAAGTCTTACTCCTTCCTCTACTAGTCTTTACTGGGTTTCTCACTTTGATTCTCTTGAAGGCGCTACCCTACGCAATGTGTTTTCGGCGAGTCCACATGTATGTCTGCTTGAAATGCAGTAAAGACTTCAAACTGTAGCACAGTCCTCAACAACATACCTAACCTCAACGTAGCTGCGACTTGAAAGTAGATAGATATTTTGTAAGAAGATCTACTGGGTATTCGAAAGCTTTTCACAACATTGAATAGCTCTTGTCATGAGGTTACAAAACCTTTGAAAGCTCCTTATGACATTGAATGATGAAGTGAACTGCTTTTTGTGATCTACAAATACAATTTCGGATATGTACTCAACGCCCCGCTGAGTTTAACTGTGGCAGCAAATCGCCTATTTTTATTTTTGTCGTATTGATTTATTGATACAATTATTTTTATTATTATGAAGCTCTAAAGCTGGGACTAACTGACAGACCACTTAACACGTCTCAACGTAGGATACGTTCCAGAATAAGACATGTTTAATGTAGGCCTTTTTGGAACGCAATTTCGGATGCACTATGGATATTCTTATAATTTCGCGACAGGATTGGATTTTCAGAAGAGAGCTTTACATGCGGAAGTGCCTTTTTATTTTCTTCTGCTTTACAGTGTTTTGTTACAAGTCTCATATTAAATTAACGTAGTACTACGTTCTTGGATTTGTGAAATTTGCGGAAAGTGCTGGGAAAAATTCTTAATTTTAGTGAAATTTTTAGGAATTGACACGTTCTTACTGTTGGATTTTCACCGTGATGATCTACTTAATATGTGGTTCTTGTGGAGTCCACGAAACCAGTTAGTTATGCTCTCCAAACGGCTCCAAGCTCTTTTCTGATCGACTTCAACTTGAAATAACACTCACGATTGTTCTTTGGTCATCTATCCTACCATGTCCGAGGTTTGACTACACTATTTGCGAACTGTTTGACCCAGATACCAAGTTAGGTGGGCTGGGATGTTCTTAACACCCCTCCAAACCTCGTGACTGTTAAAAGGTGTATTTACTAACGGTGATATGAAGATTGTAAAGAGACATACAATCTCACCACAACGCACAGCTGCGCTCTTGCTCCCTGAAAACTCAGTCTTCTGCAATCCGATCAAGTCAGCACACCCGTCTTACTCTCCTGACAACTTATTAATATTATAATTACTATTATTATTATTACTATTACCGATATATATATTATTCTTCAAACTTCATGAGCTGACTGTTGTTACGTTTCCTATTTTCGTTTCTGTCTCTTAGTCTGAATAGCTTCACTAATTATATCTATTATTATTATTACTATTATTATTATTATTACTATCTCTTTTCTCTTGTCGACAATACCGAAGGACTAACTGGCGAAAGGATCAACTCCAATCACAGTAGTAACAGTCTTAACATACCTCATACTACAAACCACATATAATTAATCCCAGCACTACTCCCTTTGGAGTCAACCAAAGCTACGACAGTCGAGTGGCGGGACAAGCTACGCAGAAGTTTACCGAAGATCAAGAACCTATACCTCACAATCAAGAGGCGAGCACAAAGAAATCAAATTGGTTTATACTAGCTCGTAAAAACGATATTGGATATATTGGATATTGGATACATAAATTGACTGTTGAGAGCGAGGTGGCTGACATCCAGTTGAATGGACGAACTCCTTTTACCACCTACTGGAGGTTTATGAGAAATGCGTGCACTGACAATATTTCCTTTGTTATGCACGTGAAATAGAAGCGTAAAACACTTTTTACGTTTTGCTGAGCTTTCATGATTTTCGGAATGTTTTGATTTTTGGTGCTTTTCTGGTGTCTTGGGGACAGTGACCGGTTGGGTTTTGCGTACGTCGCGATGTTCCCCTATGATCAATGGTCTAGAACTGTATGAGAATTAAATATTGATTAGGGACTGTCACTTATCCATTAAACTATAGGAGACCTGGCAAGCAACTTCCCTCTTCTGGTTTTATTTTCATTTTAATTTCGGTTGCTTTTAAATTATCCTGTCTTGCTTGAAGGGAAGCTATTCTAAAGTAACGATCTTTTTTGGAGAAAAAAGCTATTCTTTGTCGTGCAACTTCGCTAAATGGTTTTTTCTATGTCGTCGCGCAAGCACATCTAGGTTAGAGAATAGTAATCTTAAATAAACTAGCTTAGCCCTCAAAAGAGCACATGTAAGATTATGCTTAACTAACACTCTGAAGTCACTTTAAAAACGCAGCCATAATAGGGCTTTATATGTTTTAAACATTACTTATTCCTACGGTTTTTCGTAACACAAACCGTAGGCGAATGATGACTATATTAACAGTGCTTTACTCAGAATAAAAATAAACTTTGTCAAGAAGGAGTCTTGTATTAGTACGAGCGAATATTCCAGAAGTACTGTTGCTGTTCTAGATCTACTAATATTCAGATTTATTTGACTCATCACCATGTATTAAACGTTGGAATTTTGTACAGTGTCGTTTTTCAGGTGAAATTACATGCTATAGCTGCCTGCAACCAAGACTATGCACACATTTCCTTAGTTGACTAGCAGAATAGTTTTTGGTATGAAATTAAGTAATGCCTATATTCCTTATCACCTGCGTGAAATACAGTCCTTACGCATAACAACCACAACAAGTCAAAGTTTATACTGCTAAAATCTGCATTAGAGCGACACGAAAATATGGTTTAATGGAATGTTAATGGAACTTTACCAGAATTTTAAGTACTTTCTGGTAATTTAGTGTTCCAGCAATGTATGAACAAATATGGGGTTCTTAATTTGCCCCCCCAACTTCGAGCTGATCAATCTACTTTCATTATGTAACTTTATGCACTAAACGTGGTTCGCATATTAGAAGAGAGAACAGAATATGCTCACAAAACTTAAGATTCATTTAAGTGTCGTAAACATACATAACAGAGTACATAATAGCTGTTAATAAATGTAAAATAGGCATAAAATAAGTTATCAGTGTGGTAGGTACAGTTGCATCAGAAATGCATTGCCGTTGCAATGTATGAGGTAATAATTGACTACCTTTTTCGGCTGCCATCTGATAAAAACATCGATTGGGTTTCTAGCGTCTTCGGCGTTTTCTAACTTTCTGCTGGAGGAATGTATGCTCTCTGATATAAGCTTACCATAGCAGCACGCCTAAGGTTAAAAGTTTCATTCGAATAACTGTTTTGTAGAGCCTTCATAGGTTTGACCGTCTACACCGATCTTCCTGTACCTAAGAAATCCTTGAATTCGTTTAAAACCAATCATATTAACGAACTATAAAATACTAAAAAATATCTGAAATTGTATTCTGCTGTTTGACTGATGAATAAGTAACTGTTCGAAAGAATAATCGCGAAAATTAGGCCACTTTACAAAGTTATCGTGAGTTGCCTTAAAATATTTAGTTCCACTAGTGCTTGGCCTTATGGATATAAAAATTAGTAATCTCCATGTCTCCAAATAATAAAGATATACAGCAGTATGCATTGATGTTTAATTTATAGCTATACAGTTAGTCTGTCATGTCAGGATGCTAAGTAATGGCTCTAGAAAATTATACACATACTAATTTATCACTGGGAAATTGAATCAAAGCACTAACTTTGCCATTTGTTGCCGTAAATTTAAACCGATTTCACAGGTTACTAATTGACTGCTATGTTTTACGCTACTTTTGCTGGCTAAAGTGAAATCACCAGCTTGATTTGTCTCTTTGGTAACAAGTAAATATATTAGAATTTTAAACTACCTAAGCAGTACAAGTGAGAAAATTTGGCTTTTTTTATGTCAGCAGTTGCAGAGAAAAATCACTTGCTGATTATTCTTCAGATGTAATTGAGGATCGTTAGAAGAATTATGATGTTACTGAACATTACTGAAAATTGTATGACTGAAATCTTTTCAAATGCTTATTCAGGTACTATTTTTCAAAGGGCAATAGGAGAAGGAAAAAATTATTTGCATGTAATCCAGCGACAAATACGTTACTAACATACAAAAATTTCATTCAGAACATATAAGTTCGAAAAGAGTGTGTTTAAAAATGCTGGATTTTAAAAATAATAATAGCTTTATTCCAAACACTACTTTTGGTAAAAAATAAGGAATTTTCAGCATATAGTACAGTATTGCGTCTAACTTTCTCATGACCACGATAAAAATTTAAACAGGGCATTTACAATGATATGAATGAGTAAATGAGTGTGCCGGCTGGGGATCGAAACCCCGGACCAGGTCGGCTAACATTCTACCGCTGTGTGACCAACAATCTCATAATTCTAAAATTTCCTTTATTCAGGTAATAACTAATCAATAAGATTTTGTAGAATGGACAGGAACTAGTGTGAAGACAATAAAGTGTTTTCATATAAAATCTGTATGAAACCGCAATGTTATTAATAAACGGTAATAGAGCGGTAACAAAATATGGATGATAGGAATAATAATGATAAGAAAATAATAACAACAATAATAATAGTAGACTTACATGATAGAAAAGAAGCAAAGTTATGGTGAGAACTTTACTCTGGCAATGGTGGGGCCAGTGAATGCATGTAGCGCTTTTGAATGCAGAGGTCCGGCTTCAGATCTAAAATAGCTAATGATTCAGTTATGTACAGGTGGCATGTGTGAAACCCATTTGTACGATATTGAGGGACTGTGTGTAGCACTGTGAAGCATTCATGCGGGAGTCCTCGATGTCCAGAGATGACATGGTGTTTGAGGACAGAGCTTCTACCATTATTTTTTCCTCCACTGGCTAACCTATATGGACAATGTTCCAAAATACTTTTGTGGACTTGACGTTGCGTACGGCTGATACACTATGCTCCACATGAGCAAGTAAACTGATACATATATACATATTAAACTGGATTAACTGTGTGCTGGAGAATGTGAACTAACTAGTTAATGCAAGTCGCTCCTTCGTCTGAAAGTTAAATTAACCACCTGCCATTTGGAGAGATTAAGCTTAAGACCATATGACTGGAACCAATGACTAATTTCTGATACGAGGTTTTCATTCGGGAGCAGCCTGACTGAGAAGTAACAGGCATAGAAACAGTAAGATCATCGGCATACTTAATTGGCTTTGTTGAAAAAGCAGCTCCCTGAGAAACACCAGCTGGAGTAATTGAAACAGTGGAGGACTTCCCATTGTAAACAGTGTACTGCTTTACTGTACTATTGTCTGAAAAAGTAGGAGTGCAACCACTTATTAGACCATCACTGTGCTTGCGCCGTAGCAGGCTTGTTTAACAAACGTTGCCTAGTTACAGAGTCAAAGGCAGATGTGTAATCTAGGAAGGCACACCAAACATATTTGGCACCTCTGTCCAAACTAGATGCAATATTATGATATAAGACGACAGTGGCATCTAAACTTCACCTACTGTGCTTATAAGCGAATTGATTAGGGTCGCTAAAAGCTCTTAGTGAAGGTTCAAGGATAGGTAAAAGCAGTCTTTTCATTACTTTTGTAAAAAGTGAGGTAATGGCAATAGATCAAAACTTACTTTTAAAGCATAAATGAAAGTATAAACCTGTGAAAGTTTCTGGAGTTGTTTTCTAGACGGTAACAAATCGCTGGTCTAGACAAGATATTCACTATGAAGAAACATTCAGAAGTTAAGCTTCATTTAAAGATGTGCAAAATACTCTTTCCATAGTGGGACAGAATTAAAACAATAATTCCATAAAATATAGAGTACATGTAAAATATTCTTGTGGAATTAAGACTATTAGAAGAAGTTAATTTTCTTCAGAGAGGTCTTCAGAGTTGGAAGATTTATCGTGGAAAAGAAGGCATTAACAGCTGGCATTAAATTTGAAAAAATATATACACAGGTGAACTAGTTTGTTCTTAATTATATGAAAAACGTAATGGCAGCTTTTGTTCAAGAAGTTCTACACAACATCGTAGGCTTTGGCAGAATTTTACATTTTGATTAGGGAGCTAAAGACAGTGTTAAGCCCTGGTTGTCTGTGCTATTCTTAGTTATCGTATTCATTCAGGTCAGTGAAACTCCTCGAAAACCGACTGACTGTTGATGGATTATTTGTTAATTGGCAACAAAAGTGAATAAATGTTGTTTTTCTTTATTTTTCAATTAAATTTAAGCGTCACGTAATTATGATGATCAAAAACTCTGATGAAGAAGTTACTATTCATACAGCAGTGAAACATGGAGATTTAATGCTGCTTAAAGAGATGATTTCAAGTGGGGCTAGCATAAATGAAATTGACAAACAGTCATTCACTCCGCTACATTGGGCTGCTAATGTTGGTGCTATTGAGGTAAGCGAGAAATCTGTGTTTTTTCTCGAACAGAATTTATCCAACAAAATAGATTTTACATTATTTGTTATGGAAGAATGCTGATCCACTGATTGTTACTAAAAATGGCTGGACTCCTGTTCATATTGCTGCTATACGAGGATATGAGAATTGTATAAAGTCTTTGGCTGAAAGAGGTGTTAGCCTTTCAGCTCAAGACAAGTATGGTCAAACTCCGGGTCATATGGCTTCAATTCATGGAAATTCTGGCAGTCTTTCAACCCTTTTACGTTCTGGTGCTGTAAGTTTCATTTAGAATATAATGTGTCAATTTCCAGAGTGAATAATTATAATGAGAAAAGATATGATTAGCGATATCTTAGTCAGTTTCATTTCCAATGTGGAATTCTTATATCATTCTCTTTTGCATTTTTATCTTTGTTAAAAGTCAAAGTCGACGACTAATAATAGCTAGATGATAAAAAAATTTTTGTAACATTTAGTTCATAACATAAATTTTGATGTTTATATATTTTGTAGTGTAAATTGTTATTTATACCTCTAAATTTATTCACATTTATGTCTAGGATGTGGAGACAGTAGATATAAATGGATGGACAATGTTACATGCAGCAGCATTCCATGGACGGCTTGGATGTGTTCAAGTATTACTTAAGTGGGGTTTACGAATAGAAGATACTGATAAAGCGGGAAATAATGCTGGTAACTACAACTATTATGAAATATATGAAGATTAACTGAACCTTAGAATTAATGAATTTATCAGAAGGATATTATGGTATCGTAAAATTTATTATAACAACCCAGTGATAAACATTATTCCAGGATATCATATCTATGAATATATAATCTAAGCTTACCGTGTATTCAGATTTGTTAGTACGATGTAAATATAGGTGTGGTGAGAGCAGGCTGCTAGCCAGTCGGTAGACATTAATCTGCGTGAATGTCTAGGTCACTAATATTGGCCGTGAGAAAATATGAGCAAGGTTGATTCAACAATCAATCACAGCAGACTTAACGTGGGCAAATATGATTCGCAGATAGATGGCTCCATTTTCTGAGGTTACCCGAAACAACCAATCAGAGGCCTGCGTTTTTCTACTTGAATAAGCTATAATAATGTACAGGAAATATATAAATATGTGTTGATTTCCGTAATAAAACGATCTGTTGCCGGCCCTTGTCTTCTGTTGTTACATAAGCAATGGCATCAAGCATAGGCGTTGAGTTTCACATTAAAATATTGGTTTTGATGTACTCATATCCTTGAAAATATTACTATCTTAGGGTAAATCAGATGGAATTTTAAATAAGAATCTTATGTTTAAATCAATAAGTGACAGACATGGTTGTTAATGGTAATGACGTTAAAAGGATCTCAGGTGTTAAAAAGAGTGAACACTGTATTTTCGCAATAACCAGTGATTGATGTCATGTAAAGTACATAAACTTACTACATTATAAATTCACGGAGTGATTTCAAAGTCGGAACAAAGTTTTTCTGTCACTTCCGTATGTATGGTTGCGTAGTGCTCGCACTTATATTGAGGACTAATATCTTCAATTTAACTGAAGTGATGGGGTAGACTAGATGACCCATTTAAACCGGAAGTTTACTTTTTTATCAGGAGTATTTCTTTACCATGATATACTTTTTCTTGGAGCTGGATTGATTCAAGTAAACTAACTGTTTTACCTTATGTAAACTGACGCTAATCACTCTCTACTAATCTGCAACTGATCGATTGACTTTCAAGACTTTTGTGACTTCAAATTGATTTATTCTCATGATGGTTCTTAGAACAGCTTCATATGCTGTCATCGGAGCTGTGCATATTAACTTGAGATCTTGAAATATTCTGGTACCTGTCAGAGCTAATTTGCATTAACTCGCAGTTAGGCGTGTTCTTAACTATAGCAGTGATCCGGAACTCGAACCTTTATATAGGATTTACTTAGAAATTAGGAGAAACAAACGTAACTGGAAATCAGCTATTACGGCTATATATATATATATATATATATGGTGAGAGCTGGCTGCTAGCCAAAAGTGGCAGACGGTAATTTACGTCAATGTTTACGTCCACAATATTGGTCCTAAGAAAAATAAGAACAAAGACTGATTCAACAACCAGTCACAGCAGACATTTGCGTAGGCGGATACAATTTGCAAAAAGATAATGTGGACTTCTAGAAACAGCCACAAGGAGATGAAAGATGAACGTTCAACAAGAAACGACCAATCAGAAGATTGTGTTTGCTTGTTTATAATAATCTATAATAATGTACATGAAAATCTATAAATACGTGTTGATTTCTTAAATAAACAATCTGTTGCCTGGCTCTTTATTATTATTATTTTATTATTATTTATTCTAGTTCATCTTGCAGCAATGGAAGGTCATTTGCCTGTGTTACAGTGTTTAGTTAGTCAAGTTCACACGCCATTATATTTACTTGATACTCCAAATGATCATGGGGAAACTGCTGAAGCTCTAGCTAAAAGATTTTTGAAACATGATGTTGAAATGTATATTAATAAACTTAAAACTGAGAAAACATTTCACAGAGGATCAGACGACGCTGAACAGTTGGCATTTCCAGCTCATACAGCAGCTTATTCTGGAGATTTAGTTCAGTTGCGTGCTTTGATAGAATCAGGCACTGTGAAGATAGATGAAAGAGATGAACAAGGCGCAACACCACTACATAAAGGTAAATTAAACTGTTTGGTGGACAAGGCAGTCATTTGAGCAGAATCTTTTTTAAAAATAATAATGACCTGAAAAATTGATATTAGACTGCTATATTTATAAAAAACGACAATTTATTGTATACATTCAAGTGTTGGTTGAAGGGATTTGATTAATTGGTTACAGGATTTCATCATGAGCTGACATTGGTCAGAGAACTATTGGAAAACCTGCAGAGAGTACTGGACAGCCAGCTGTGTCGTCCTAGTTTGGAAGTCTTCGTCAGCAAGCACCCACCGTCAAGGTTCGAACCCAGGACCTTCTGGTTACAAGGCGAGCTCGCGGATTATTAAGCCACAGGGACCCGACCCAATTGCCCGTGAATTCCTACTTCTGCCAGTTCACGACATAGTGTGACCGCTAGCCAATGTCTTCGGCGAGTATTTGTCCTCACATATGACCTGCTGCACCCTACTGGTCACGAATTCCCACTGCGGTGGATGCGTACTGATGAGGAGTCCTGAATTGGCATGAAATAGATGTCCAGTACTCCCTGCAGGTTTACCAATAGTTCTCTAACCAATGTCAGCTCCTTATGAAATCCTGTAACCAATTTACTGTATAGTTGAATTATAATAACACTGAAGTTTAAGTTTTGGAGTGGGAACTTTTGGCAGTCAACCCCACTATCGTTATTTGTAAGCACCTTCTTGTAGAATATTTTGTAAGTTGTACAGACAATGAAGTACACAGTGATAATAACAGTTTAATTCATAAAACTTATAGGTTGAAGAAAACATGAAACATTATATTAAACAGTCAAGGTATGAGTAGTATTATGTATACAAATTTACGCAGGGGAACAGAAGAGACAAAATTTAAATCCTAATAATTATATTCAATGAAAGTATTGGAAGAAACAGAAGCAGGATACGCTCACATACAGAATATGCTACCGTTACCTTCTTGGATTTCGTAAGCATTCGCTGAAAATAAAACTGTATGATTCAATCAGTTTTGATCCATCTGAGCGGGACAAGATCAAATAGGAAAAATATAATTATATTCGGGTTTATTCCTTAACTTCGTATTTTGAGGTAGTGGAAATGATTTCTAGCTCTAGCGGCCATTTTGATGTTACTGTATTCTCTGAGTAGGATGATTGAATTATTCAGTTTTAATTGGCCTTCTGAACAACAACTCCAGTGGGAAATCGGAGCTAAAGATGGCCAGGTGGACAATGAAAGCTTCTCAAGTAAGAAGAACAACTTAGAGAACACGACAACACTGGTGACTTCATATTTTCGAGTCGTTAACAAATGAAGAATGATGGAAATATGAGTAGAAATCTCTTACCATACTCATTTTATACTTCAGTTTATAGAGATTAAATCTTTGCAATATGTTTAGCCACGAACAAAAAGTTGCCTTTTTAACGTTTTTCCACCTAGATTCATCCATAAACTATAGTTCATTATTATAATTTCACTAAATATAAGGATTCTAGGAGTATAGTGATAAAAACTTGCCATACATACTGCACTTTGTCAGATATATAAGTTTAAAGAGAATAGTTCACACGCTTTGCGATTTATACAAATACAAGCTTTTTAAAAGTTATTTTTGTTGCTAGTATTAAATAGTGGTGCGTCTGTGGCACAGTGGTTAGGATGCTTGCCGACCATGCACATGGTCCGGGGTACGATCCCCGGCCGACGCACTCCTTTACCTCGTTAAGCCAGAAATAAAGCTGGTAAAGAGGAAAGGTTGGCCATGAGACTAGCAACCTCATTCTGTAAAAATAAATACTGCTGCTACAGAAACTTCAAGTCTGTAGCTTGAAGCCCTATGTTCCACTGGGAACGTGAAGGAATAAAAAATAATAAATATTGAGTCTAGATTATGCGCAATCTTTGTCAATAAGCAAATACACTCCAAGGATCTTTAACAAAAGACTATCCTTTTTATTGGACACTAATCAGTAACTAGTGTAATGTGTCTAGTCCTGTCTTCGGTGCATACTGAACTGTATCAGTCAAATTTGCAATGTGGCCACCATCCTAGATCGTTCGCCAACATGGTGCACTGTGAATTGTCGGTATTAGATGATTGGAGGCAATCAGTGGAACGTTAGTACCTTTAAGCTTGCAGATACACCTTCCTGACGAGAGCCAACTAGCATGAAACCTAGTTCAAAGGGTTCCTGTCGACTGCCTCTAACCGCCTAGTACCAACATATTACCTTTCTTCTTTACAGATAACTAAACTTCTTGTCTGCGTTATATTTATATATTTTCAATACAAAGATAATCTTATTACTTTTTCCCCAATTAGTAGGTTAGTCAGAAAATGTAAAGCATGCATAATACTTTAAAGGATGAGACTTACTTTCTTTTTAGATTCTCAAGCTACATTAACAAGTGATTGACATAAGGCATAGCTTTTAGCTAACCGTAAGACCTGAAGGCTGTGAGCGTAAAGTTAGTGGCATGCATTGCTGACAAGTGTTATGTACTCGTCGCTAAATTATTGTTATGGACTGGTCTAGAATGTAATAGTCCTGACGCAAGAAGGCGGAAATCAGAAGACCACTAGGTTTGCGATGATACTACTATTTCCAAACACAAGGAGAATGCAAAAGTGGTATCACACCAAAGTAAGTAAGTCACACAAGATGTGAGAACGAAATATATATATGAAATGTTCCAGACAAAGTGTGTGAACAAATCATTAGACAGTCTTAACATGAATGGCTAATTATAATGAAGTATCGATCCATATATACATAGCGAAATATAGCAGACATGTCAACAACCACCATATATGGATATATGTCACCAAGCTACGGACTGACAACAAACACTCATATTATATATAATATAAGGGGAATATACATTGTTAAAGGAGACAGGTTCATACAAGTGAAATGGTCACAGACTAAGCGAGCAAACAGAAAGAGAGACCAACATACACACACACACATAAATATATATATGTGGATACATATCACAAGTCCGAGACAAGAACAAAGCAACTGCCTAGTTCACTCTAGCTTTCAATAATTATTAAGTTGATGTCTACTGGTGATAAAAAATGTCTCTGAATTTCGAATAAATTGACGACATATATCGCCCAACATTAAACACTTTATTTTCTATTTTGAAATTTTTCACCACTCAGCATAATATTTTCAGAACGGTAACTTAAAGTTAGGTTAGTAAATGTAATAAGATGCAGTGCGTAGTAACTGAGGGTAAATGAAAGTCTGAGTCACAGTAAAATTCAAACTAGCGGCCTGTGAATTACTAGTCTAGTGTTCTGTCAGCTGAACTGCGAAACTCAACTGCTAACTAGGTTACCGATTCACTTCACTCACCACAAATTAGTAGTTAGAAAGTCTCTGGTTCAAATCCTTCCTCAACCTAGACATTCACTTCACTTTCAGCATCACCCAATACAGCGGGAAAAATCTACCAACCTGTGACTATTTTAAATATTCTCACCATCAATAAGAAATGCTTCTACAACTGAAGAATTTCTGTAAAAATCATTTTCAATAAATATCACTAGAAAACTGGGTACCAAGTACATCCAATTAAGCGAATAATTGTGTATGTGATTAACCCGTTTCTGCTCCTTTCCAAATGACATTGGTTTCCCTGTGTTTATTGACACAGTTTGTTAAGGATAATCAATGCGTGTATAACACTCACTTTTGCAGGGGACAAAGCTATCATCGTCGAAGTTTCGTTTACTACCCACTCTAAACACTAGACTGAATTTCTCATAAAGTTTTACCATAATACAACTGATTCATACGAAAACAGACGAATAATATTCTTTACCCTGAGTACTTCACCAAATTATTTTTTGTCAGAATAAAAGGACATTGTTTGTCTGAAAGAAGAATTCGACTTCAACTAAAGTAATTTCTCTCTGTGATTACACAGAACTGACTGGATTCCATAAAACAAATTAAAACTTCATTTTTACTGAATACTAAGATACATTTGACAGTGCAGTATACGGACAAGTATTATTTAGACGATAGTTTTCGCCTTCAGTTGTTGTAACCTGTAGAAATAGGTGAAACGGTGGCATTTGGACGCTGTTGAAGAGTAGTAGAAAAAGCAGGCATCAGTTCAAAACCGTTTGATATTTAGTAGTTCTCTGGATGATACCAGTACATCTGCTTATTCATTACATTGTCAAACGTCTAAATGCATGCATAAAGTTCTTCCAATAACAATAATGATTAAAATAATTATTTCTAAGAATCAGCATGAAATAAAGAAAGATACTTTGGTTTCTATGTATTATTTAGCCGCAGGTCAAGGACATATCAAAATTGTTCAATGGCTTAGAGAGAATGGCGCTGATCCAAGATTGAGGAATTCAATAGGTGAATCACCTGCTGATGTAGCTCGAAGATATGGCCAACTTGGAACGTTAAAACTTTTAGTATCCAAATCTGAAGAAGGAAACGAAAAGGACGAAGTATCAGATACAGATTTACCATCTGATATACCATATGGTTATACAGAAGGTGAAAAGATGCCTGAACTTATAATGGACAAAAATGCTGCACTGGGTAATTATGTATTTCTATGGTTTACCTTTCATAGTTTTCAACCCTTTAAGTGTTTAACTGAGTTACTGATAGTTTATAGAAAACAAATAAACCAGTCAGTCATGTGAGTAATTCATTAAATTATATAAATCATTTAAAAAAACTAGAAATGAAACGTCTTAAATATCAAACTAGCTAGTTTGAACCTAGAACTGGTGGCATTTCATTGCTACTGTTTAAAACATGTCACTACTGAAATAAGGTTTTATCATAAGGAAACTATTAAATTAAACTGAATAAAAATCTGTTAAAATACGATTGATATAAAGGCGATAGGACAGTGAAATGTTTAGTAATCAGGTCCTTAATTATTCATGGATTTAATGAAATAACATTAAGCATGATGTTTTAGATGCAATATGTAGATGTACGGAAAGGTACCCCAGGTGTCAAACAGGCCGCCAAAAAGGAATGAATTCTTTCAAGGTTGATATTTTTAATTAGAAACTTGGTTCACAAGTATTTACCAACTTACTATGAGAGATAATAAAATAAAAAAGTCATTATCAATATATTTGATTTTTCAACGCTTGATAATATTACAATAGAGGTTGATGAAGGTACTACATTGCACTGATGGTAGTAACTTGGTCATTTTTGTATGTATAAACAGTTGACTTTCGTTTTGTTAATGAAGTGATAATTGTCCAACGAACCATCTGAAAGAGTTTAGATAATTCCATTTGCATTGATGTGTTAGCTGATGATTGAAGGTGAAGTAAAATCTCACCAAGACTTGAACGAGTAGTTATCGCAGTTGCATTATGACACTATGACAGTTTGCATTACTGCTGTCTACTTATTTAATAAAGTAGCTATTCAAGATATGATAATTTTCACAGTCTTGTATTTTAATATCAGGTTTGTAATATCTGTTAGTCTGAGTTGGATGGCAGAGCTGTGCATTACATCTACCTGGGAATAATCTCACTTAGAAGAGTTATGGATTTCGCAGGTGATTTATGTCTGATGTCATACACACTCGAATATCTATAGGCGAAAACCAACAAACTGGCTGAAGAATCAGACTGTGGAGACAGGACTCAAGGTGAACATAGAGAAGACCAATCGATAGCAACAACAACCAGCCCCAATCACCATCACCGGGAGAGATTTGAAGGAGTCAACTTCCTTCAGTTATCTAGGAAGCACAACTTCAACCATAGGCCGTTGGAACAGATGAAGATGTCAAAGCCAGTCAGACGCAGAAAGGGGAGATACACCATCATTAACCTTAAACCGGTTTGGAAATACGCTGCTAAACTCCCTCATCCAGTATAAAGAACAAGATTCGGATTCTGCTCAACACAATGTGAAGTCAGTTAGTCAGTCAGTCAGTCAATTCTTCTATGTGGGTCAGAAACTTGGCGAGAGTGTCACGAAAAGCATTTCCAACAGGCTACTTCTGACTTTTATTAACAGCTGATTTAGCTGGTTCCACATTGAAGATCAAACAGCCGGTCAGCCAGAAGGAATTAGCAACAAAAAATTCTGGCTGGGAAAAATCCTACCAATAGCCGACTAGTCAACAGATATGTAGGAGAAAATAGAGATGGATAGGACAAACACTGAGGAGACAGTCGAATGACACCGCTTGCTAACCAGGCTACCGGTCGAGTGGAATTCCAATGGGAAGCGACAAGTGGGTCGTCGATGAGAGGGCGACATGGAGGAGACGGGAGGGACTATGGATGCCCGTGGATTCGTCCGGCTGAAGAGGATAACAGAAAATGGAACAGAGTGGAGGTGTGTTATCGAAGCCCTATGTTCCAATCGGAATCCAAGGGAATAATAATAATAGTCCCAACAGTCTCAATAGATTTCAAAACAAATATAATAGCTGTGAATATTAGTAGTTCAAAAATGAATGTTTAGGTGGATATATATGCCTTGTATTCAGGTTAACTAAAGACGATGACTAACATGTCATTCAAAACTCTGTCATAAGTCAGATAGACACCTTTTCGTCTAGTCTAGATTGTCTTATATGGTGCAATAGCAGCAGGACAAATGATGTAGTTGAAAAATGAATAGTATTTTGTTGGTCGTATAGTACACGATATAATTTTAAAACTTTACCGATGGTTTTGCTTTAAAAACATAGATAAAATACATAAATCGCAAATACTTTCCATCTTGGTTTCGTGAAAAATCACTCTGATACGCTTATCCTCTTGTAAAGCTTCAACAAGGTTAATAAAGAAAGATTTAATCACAGAAATATTCGACTTGAAAGGTACTACATCTATTCAAAATAATCTGTAAACCTAAGAAAGTGGTATTTGTAACATTTGGTAATGAAAATTTTGATAGTTGAATCACGATTGAGTTAAACAATAATATTAAATTTTGTCTCACTTCTAGTCTCATACTCTCAGATAATTGTAATCATTATGGAACAATATTAAAGAAATGAAATATAGTTCACCATCAAAATGTTTTCTGTAAGTTTGGGGTATTCCTAACCGAGATATGTACTTCCATGAATCAAGAGTTATAGATTACTTGAAAAAGCGTTCACTTTAAACTCATAGGAGTTATTATAAAAGTGGAATTGGTTAAATGTATCTATGAAAGCAGTTGTAGGTTTTAGTTTTTTGTTCTGATTTCAAAGCAGAGAAGATCTACATTGAAATAACTCAATAGGAATTTTGAGAGATTATTAAATACAATTAAAGTGTTCGTCTTGACTATGTTTAAACACTTACCAATTTTGTTTTTAGCAGATAAGGTCATCAGTTTAATCATGATGTATTGATCCGCATACTCTCCTCTCAGTAAATAACTTAGAGGTTTGAATTCCACTTTACCTGTCTAGGTCATTTCATATAATATCATACTGTCGCTGTATCAGAAACTTGGCGGGTCACAAAGAATATTTCCAACAGCCTGTTGCAGACCAGACCTTTATCAACAACTGTCTTCGCTGGCTCTATACTGAAGATCAGATGGCCGGGCCGGAAAGAATCACCAACAAGAAACTATGGGAACAAACGAAACAAAGCAAGAACCAATCGCCAACCAACAAATATGCAGGAGAAAGTGGAGATGGATTGGACACTCGCTGAGGAGGCCGCTGGGTGACATCGAGCGCGCGTCAGCCCATCGCTCGAGTGGGACCCGAAAGGAGAGTGGCGAGTGGGACGTCAGTGCAAGGGTGATATGGAGGAGATCGTGTGAAGAGGAAGGAGTTGAAACAGTATGGACTAACATGGATGCAGGTGAAAAGTACAGCAGAAGGAAGACAGAAGCAAGTGGAGACATGCAGTTGAAGCCCTATGTTCCACTGGGAACCCAAGGGAACAATAATAATAATAATCGCTGTATCATTTACGGCAGAATATCAAGTATAGGGTTCTGTATTTGAACACCAAAAAGTGTTATAATTAGTTCACTATTAATCACTCCTAACCATGTCAAAAGATTCTGTCCATAAGAATTGATAGTTTACAACTTAGAATGTATAAAATAGTGCAGTGTATTTCTTCTCTTTCATTTATTTATTCAAGGCAGAGCTAAAAAGAGAATAGAAAAATTAGAACGCTTATTAGATTTGGCTAAATCAGATTATAAACAACTTGGTGGTCCATTGGATGAAGAAGAGAAAGAAAGATACAAAATCCTACAAGAAACTGATCGGTAGGTATATGTGTGATGCAGATGTGTAGTGATGCTTTTCACACTAGTGAATCAACAATAATAAGTTATTGTGTACAGTAACTAGGATCTTTAGTGAGTGGGATTTTATCCTTGTGGTCAATGATTAATAGTAATCCAATCTTAAAATAATAATTTACTCATAACTTCGTGAAGTTTATTGATGAGAAATAACATTTTATAGAATACCGAAATTACATCATCTATAAATGTTAAATGCAACTTAGTAAGAAACCGGTTGCTCGAAACACTCCATGAGCCACACATATATTGTGTAGGAAGTAATAATTCTGTGCAGTTGAAATGAAGTAGGCAGACGATGAGAGGCTTGAACTTGGGATTGAAATGCATGGGTTTCATGATGATTTCATCTGTTTTTATTATCGAATGGAGAAAGTGTAACTCTGGAATCATAATGATTCACCAAAATTCGAATACCACGATCTACCGACCACAAATAAGTTATTATTATTATTGCTGTTATCCTTCACAGATAGTTGAGAATTATGAGAATGGTTACCGTTGATGATAACTTGTATACAATTCTGACACATTGTGAACATACCTTGGAAACATGAAGAGTAGGAAAATTGGTTTCTTTCTAGGTGAGAATGAATTTTACCGAAGCTACAATAAAGAGCCGTTATCTATGTAGTCGGGAGAAAATATACACCAACAAATGAAATCGAATAATAGTTACAATATTCTACCTGTTAATGTGAATCTTTAAAATGCTAATTACTGTATTTCAGTTGTATAGCTTGATTAGAACTAGTGTGTTTTTAATTAAGTCTTTGGATAAGACAATTACATACTACTTAGAAGCTTCTAGTAGCTTCGTATCAATGTCAGTTCGTGATAAGAATTATTTTAAAATATAAAATAACTCTAGTATATACTTTTGAAAACTTACGTTATATCCATAGCAATACAGAATGCTATTGGTTTTTGTAAGGATTTTGTTTGATTGCATGGAGGATTTCATAATGAGTTGACATCAGTTAGAGAAACACTGGAAAACCTGAGAGTGCTGGACATCTGTTTCGTCCTAGTTTAGGACTCTTCATCAGTGCACACCCACTGGGGTTTGAACCCAGGACCTTCTGGCTACAAGGCGAGCCAGCTCGTAGACCGTTGAGTCACTGGGACCCGATCCAATGGTCCTTGAATTCTAACTTCTGCCAATTTACAACCCTGAGTTTGAACCCCGGTGGGTGCGTACTGATGAAGAGTCCTAAACTAGGACGAAACAGATGTCCAGCACTCTTAGGTTTTCCAGTGTTTCTCTAACTGATGTCAACTCATTATGAAATCCTCCATGCAGTCAAATACAGAATGATCATTAAGTACTCCTTAGGTACTTTTACACTTCCAACCAGACGATATGAGACATAAATTTAGATAGTCTTTCCTAGAGTATTTCGCTGTCTTGCTTACTTATCTCTTAGAAGATATAAAGAAGTGCACAAACGCTTGTTGATTGAAGCAGGTTAAAACAAAATTCATTGAATCTGTTTTTGTTAACGTCATTGTAATTAAATAATGTACATGAAGTTAAATGGTCTAGTAACAGATCATCTTTCCACATGATACTTCATTCTAAAATTAGATTCGATTCAGATCCCACTTCTACTGGCTTTCACCATTTCGGAATTATTTCCATACACAACAACATTACGGGTGGCTAGCAATGGTATCTAGGACACGAGTTTCTTCCTTCTTGCTGTATCTAGATGAAGAGTAAAGAAATTGATGAACTGAGCGTCCTGAATTCCTCTGTTAGCCACATTTAAATTTGAAAACACCGAACTAAGACCCAAAGATATTCGTTAAAACAAACAAGACACCAGTAGATTCGATATAATAAAATCACTGAAAATTGTAAACGAAAATGAAAAACAACTGTAAATACTAGTATCAGCAATAGGGATCTCTGGCAATGAGCGAACCAACCACGAACCGATTGTGAAACAAATATGCAGGAAGAAATGGAGATGGATTGGCCATATGCTGAGGAAACGAACCATCAAGTGACATCACTAGACAAGCCATTGCTCGAGTGGAATCCGAAAGGGAAGCGGCGGGTTGGTCGTCAGTACAAGGGTGACTTGGAGGAGGTCATGTGAAGAGGAGATGAAAGCATGTGGGCAGACTTGGAGCGGGGTGAAAACGTCGGCAGAAAACCGAAAGCAATGGAGACGCGCAGCTGAAGCCCTATGTTCCTCTAGGAATTAAAGGATATAATAATAATACCTCTTCCTAACAAATTCTCAGTTCAAACACCTAGTACACCATATTAACAGTTATATTTCTCAAGTTACTTTTTTGAACAGACATGCATTCTTATTTGTTGAAAACAGTAAAAGTAAAAGAGCAAATTACGAAGTAATTTTCCTACTATGTAGAAACATTTAGTCTCAAATGTAGACGTCCCATAAGTTCAAATGTTTTTTTTTCAAACTCACTACAGCATAAAAATGTAATTAGGATAGAATACAAAATAATCTAATACTTTTATGATGCATTTTAACCCAATTAACTTTACAATTCAAAAATATTTTATAATATTTCTTTTTGAATTTTGAATCTATTAATGAAAAATTGGACTTCTATGAAGCGATTACGAAAAGTGAGTTCCTATACACATTCATTTGTTTGTAGAGAATAAAAATTAACGAACTGATCACTGATTTTAAATAAAAATGTTGGTTGTGATAATATTTATATTAGTAGTCTCCTTATTGATTACTACTTTTGCAATTAATAGTGTTCTCTGAGCTAGTTGGTTTAGTTGCGGAGCTTTCGTCGTCTTTCTGGACGACATCTTCAGCGCAGTATTTAGGATAAAGTGAAATCATTTAAATTTCTTCATAAGTGATATAATAGCGTCTCCCGGTAACCAGCTTTCGATATGTATTGACCGTTTTCTATTGATTGGGATTTACTACTACCTTGTAAACTACTTGAAAGAACATTACTGCAACTCCAAAGTTCACTTTAACTTCAGTAAACGCCCTTTTAGCTGTAAGTGATATTAATTTGCTGAACGAAAGTTGTATCAGTTGGCTACATCTATAAAAGCTTCTTTTACTTATCTAATAACTTTAAAGTTATTCAAAATCACAGTATATGCAATTAGTTTACGCTATAGTGCTACGGTTTTCCACAGAAAGTACAGTAAGACTAAATTCTGTTAATATATCGAAACTGGAAATGAAACTAATTGGTGGTTTTTAAGGCTCTTCGTACAGTTTATCACTAGGTATTTTAAATGCTGATGAAATCTCATATATCATCAAGAAATCGGAATATTTATCGAGAATATATTACCTGCGAATCTATACTGTCTATTAAAAATGTCGAGCCACTTCAAATTGTATCTACCGATTCAACTGCGCATGTGGAGCGAGTTATATTGCCCGTTGCTCTAGGAACTTGATTTTTCGTGCTCAAGAATACCTTTCACTATGGCTAAGTAAAGGTGTAGTTAAAACGATTAACACTTCGATATTGGGCCATATGGTGCAAACCGGCCACAAAGCCAGCGTTGAAGAATCCTTCCCTGTCATCTACTAGGTGCTTAATAAATTGCCAAAAACACCCAGGGACCTCATATTGCAAACAGCAGAGGCTGTCACGATTCGCCTGAAACAAACAGTGCTTTGTGTGCAAAAGCAGCAAATCCAGCCAATACTACTGCCCTAGCCTTCAGTAGAGACTATAAATTCATGAATTTGTAATATTCTCTTTCCTAATTCAACTGACATTCAGCTTATTTTATGTTGATGCTGTTGAGCTGTAATCTATTGATATTATTGATTCGGTGTTATTTAAACAACATTAATGTTGTTCATATCACTAATTCATTCATTCACCATAATGTATGCCTAATTGTAGAGCCTGATGATGAATTTATCGAAAAGAGTATTCTTTGTTCAGTAACCATTCTTTTGTAAATTTTGATGAGCATTTTTAATCAATTAAAAAACCAGAATAAATTGTGCAATTATTTCCTCTCAGCTGAATGGTCATATTTGATATCTATCAAAAATAATGTCCAAGCGTTTTTATTGAAAAAATTTCTACAACATTTATAAAGTATGCCTAAAATCCCCGGTCAAAAGAACATTACTGAGGAACCTCGAGTTTCAGAACCTCATTTTAGAGCATATATACGGATAATCTATAAGCAATTTAAAGACACTGAGATTAAAAGGCTACGAAGTAGATGGTGCAGATGTGTACAGAATCATCCTGTGCCGATGTTGCACAAATGTGGCATGTAAAATCGGTGCTTACTAAGCTGTAATCTTAGGCGTTTATATCATCTAAATTCATTAAATTAACATTCTATAGTACTTTTAATCTTCAACTATATTATGTTTACTTATTGATCTGAGGTGTGATAAATAGGTCTAACTTGTGAACATGTTCATAAACAATATATATATATATTCAGGAAAAAAGCCTGAGCCAGTGGTAGTACATATCAGTAGTCCTGGAAGACCTCATATTTCCCCTCTTGTCCGAGTCTTTATCACTTGACCATTAAGTTTGCTGTAATACTAAAAAGTCGATGGTTAATACTTTTTGTATTTAAGTAGTATATCACAAAACACTTATTTATAGAAATCAATACTTTCTCCATTTTGTTGGCAACCCAATAAATTAAATAATTTAGTAGAATCTTTCGTGAAGAGCAGATTTATTTCACAGCACTCTACATCAATTTATAATTATATTTAGAAGAACAAAAAGTGGGCAAACGAATAAAGAATTTAACCACTTTAGAAACTAAATACCAAAACTTTTGTATACATTATTATTATTAGACAAATTGAAGAATTAAAAGCAACACTAGAATATGAACGTATTCGTCGAGAGAAATTGGAAGCACGTTTAGATGAATCTAGACGGGAAATTGCAAAATTAAATATGCAGTTAAATGGGAATGGTACAGACCAGTATGACAATGATGTAAGTTCATGGATTGAATACAATTCACTGATAATCCTTCAGCAAAAATTTTTGTCCATAATTGTTCTATCGTAAGACTTTGAGTCATTGTTTGTTTTTCATTTCTCAACTGACAAAATTGGTGAATAGGAGTTGACTAATTTTCTCGTTCAAATTTTGTATTTAACTGTCGGTGAAGTGAAAATCTTTCATTACTAACAAAATATCATTCTACATTCAATGAATATGGTTGTTTGGTTACATTACAATAGCTCACGTGTAGGTGTACGTTCGAATGCAGTGAGATATAGGTGCTCATTGACTTAGTCTCTTTTATCCCTACGAACTAATTAATGGGGAATTTTTAATTAATTTTGAGGCAATTAGAAATAATCTAAATAGAAAATTAGTTCATGTCACCAAGTAGCTAGTAGAAGTGAATATTTGAACCACAAACAGGATTTTATCTACCCTTATTATAAACGCATGGAACTCGATTAACTGCGCGGATAGTTCAGATTGGCTAGATTAGACTAGATTAAATGTGTTCTAACAAAATCTCCTGCTACAAGACTTTTGATAAACACACAAAATGGAATGTTTTATAATGTTTATCCATATTCCATAACTAAGTGTTGTAGGATCAATTTCAGCAAATCAAAACACGGAATTGATGAGTTATAATAAAAAAAAAGTAACCCGAGAGCAGCAGCTTCTTGTTCTCTTGTTTCTAAATAGTAACATTAACAGTGAATACCTTTTTAAACTATCCAATAAATTATTATTTGCAACAATCACTAAATTGGGTATCATTTTCTAAATTATTATTTTATTATTATTCCATTGGTTTCCGAGTGAAAAATAGGGCTTCAGCAACACATCTCCACGTTGTTGTGTTTTCTGTCGTCCTCTGCAGCTGGGTCCACGACTGACCAAATTATCTCATCTCTTCTTCACACGATCTCCTCC